CTCCTTCATTTTGTTTCTTAAATTCTACATATGAGAGACATCACACGGTATTTATCTTTCTGTATTGACTTATTTAGCGTTACACTTTCTAAATCCACCCATTTTGTTGCAAATGGCAAGATTTCATTCTTTTTATAGCTGAATAACATTTCAGTGTGTGTGTGTGTGTGTGTGTGTGTGTGTGTGTATATGCCACTTTTTTATCCATTCATCTGTTGATGGACACTTGGGCTGTTTCCATAATTTGGCTGTCATAAATAATGCTGCAGTTAACATAGGGGTGCATGTATCCCTTTGAATTAGTGTTTTTGGTATTTTTTGGGTAAATGCCCAGTAATGCAATTGCTGGATCATAGGTAGTTCTATTTTTAACTTTTTGTGGTGCCACCATACTGTTTTCCACAGTGGTTACACCAGTTTACATTCCCACCAGCAGTGCACGAGGGTTCCTGTCTCTCCACATCCTTGCCAACACTTGTTGTTTCTTGTGTTGTTGATTTCAGCCATTCTGACAGGTGTGAGGTGATGTCTCGCTTTGATTTTCATTTGCATTTCCCTGATGACTGATGTTGAGCATCTTTGCATGTGTCCGTAGGCCATCTGGATGTCTTCTTTGGGGAAATGTCTGTTCATGTCTTCTGCCCATTTCTTAATTGGATTATTTGGGTTTTGGCTATTGTATAAGTTTTTTATATATTTTGGATGCTAATCCTTCATCAGATATGTCATTGGCAAATACCTTAAAAGGGTGAATTTCATGACATGTGAATTCTATCTCAATTTACATAAGAATCCCTGAAGTCAGTGTGGGCAGGACGGTAGGGAAAAGGAAGCAGCATGAATGTTGACATCCCAAAGGACAATGGCAAGAATGGGTGACAGCAGGGTTGGGTCATGTGCTGAGAGGTCTTGGGAGGAGTGGAGGTTTTTTGAGGTCAGCGCTGCGGTTCATCCTTGCGCCGGGTACCCCAGATGTGGCAGTGTGTCCTCAGGAAGCCTGCAGCCTAGTTGGGCAGAGCGCTAACCTCTGAGATGCAGCTTTGAATACTAGGAAATGGCAAGGTGATGGGGCGGTGCCCAAAAGCAGAGAAGGAACCAAACACCGGAGACTTCTTGGAAGGTCCGACAGAAGGCAGGACTTTAGCCTTCCAAGTGTTGATGTTCCCTTCCCTAGCATTTGGTTGCACAGCACGCCTTCTTAGAACCTCGGCCGAATTCTCCCTTCTGACCTGCTTCTCTGGCCTCCCTGCCTCCAGTTTGGCTGTCACCCAGGGTCATTTTTGGGAGCCACTGCCGGGAGAGGTTAATTAATGTCAGAGCTTGAAGGTCACTTCTGTTGCTTCCAGGTGGGACTGGTGTACATGTTTAACCTCATCGTGGGCACTGGTGCACTCACCATGCCCAAGGCCTTTGCCACCGCCGGGTGGCTCGTCAGCCTGGTCCTGCTGGTGTTCCTGGGCTTCATGAGGTAAGAGGCTGGCACGCAGGGGCTGGGAGGAGGCTGCCCAGGGAGTCCTGACTTCTCTTCATTAACATGAGGAAGCATGCCTGGGGGGCAGGGAGTCCACGGTGAATCCTAACCAGAGTGGCCCAGAGACAGGAAAGGAGACGCAAAGGCCTCCAGGTCTCATGCTAACGGAGCAGTTACACAATCTAATCAGTTAAGAGTCAAGACATCCAACTGGGCTTTGGAATGTTTCACGTGGTGCTCACATTGCCTCTCCGGCTGGTTGGCCTCCCCGGTTGTATGCTTTAGTGATGGTACCATCATCAATTTTTGTTCTTCGAGAAAATACCACCTGGCCACAGAAAAAGAATCTGACAAACATCTACAGTGATAAGGGAAGTCAGTTTGGAATTTAGAATTTGCTTAAGGTAGCCCACAAAGTAAGTGATTATTAACACACGGGGAGGCACGTAATCACATGTTAATCTCAGCCCACTTTGTGCCTGGCAGCAAAGAGGTGCCCGGTGCCTTCCCAAGCTTTCAGGGGCACCCGCTCCTAGAGCCAGGTGTGTGGGGTTCACCAGCTGGTGCCTCACAGAGGGTAGATCCTACTTGAGGCTCCTCTCGGATTCTGCATGCAGGCGGGGAGTCATTCAGCAAGTGCCCCAGGCTCGTAAGGGATTTAGGACTATGCATTTCCAGGTGGGAATCTACAGGCTGCCAAAAAGAGGCAAGGGAACACCTGGAAACACCCCTCAGAAGGACCTTCCCTGGGAGAAGTGACACCAGGCACTGTTCTTGGGTTGGGTTACAGGTGAAGCAAATTGGGACGTAGAAGAGGCTGGATGGGAAAACGCTCACATTTCTGTTTCTTCACTCATTTTTTCTTGGGGGGGGTTTCATGGCCATCCTTGGCTCATTACATACTGCAAGTCCTTGTCCTTCTGTGGCTCTGCTGTCCCCTTTAAAGGACCTTCAGCACAGGCAGCTGTCTGAATGGGAGGTGATTATTGGGGGCCCCCAGGTAGGGGCGGCCATGTCCCCTCCCTGCTCAGCCCATTTATATTTGAACATGATCGATGAGTTGGCTTTGTGCAACCATGAGAATCCTTTTTATGCCTTAACTAAGATTGATTCTAGTTTTATTTGCAAAAAGAAGGGAAAATCTGAAGTCCTTAAAATGGTCACTTAGGCAAGATAATGAGAAACCTTTCCAGAAGGTGCTGAGGCCCTGGAATGGGAGTTTCAGGACTGGCTGCCCTCCACCCCCCGAGATGGAGCGGATGTGGCTGAGCAGTCAGCCTGTGGCAAGTGAAGGCACTTGAGGAGGGCTGGGCTAGAGCCTCAAGAAGGAGGGAGAGGACTGTGCTGTCTGGGGTCCTTCAGCAGGGAGAGACTCCACCCTTGGGTTTACCAGTAGGAGGGCGGCTCCCCCCTCCCCCCCACCCTGCCCCGCAGCTCTGCTGA